TAACTTAGAAGACCCCACAAATTGCCTCCAGTTGTCCAGATCTCTGGTTGAGACCCAAGGTGGATTTCTAGAGATTAAGCATTCAGCTTACCATCTTTTGTCCTGGGCATAACCGATCGATCAATACTTGAAATATTGGATATTTTATACTTTTTAAACGTAGGCTGGACAGAAAAGCTAGCTGAGAGCCAGGCTATCTATGAATATTCCTTCAGAAAATTCTTCAAAGTAATTCCCCTGCATTACTTGGAGACTTGATGGGAAAAAAAAACCCTGAAAAAAGGCAATCGGATGAGTGAGCAGCAACTCATTCAGGTGCCCAACGGAAACCCTCTCTGGCCCTGAACTCAGGCAGAAACCCAACAGGGATGTTGCGAGAGCTCTCCTTTACATCCACGCTGGATGCCATTGCAATATTTGGGGATTCTGCCATCCGATCTTTGCCAAATTTCTCTCCTACGTGCAGAAAAAAGTCAGGTTTGAGGGCCTTAAATCCAGCAAGGAGCAATTTTGCAAAAAGCAAAAGACCCCGCTGCATTAAAGAGCCAGGAGTGACGCCGCCCGTCTCCTTTCCTGCAACCAAGATGCTTTAAAAGGCCAGCTCAAAAAGAGCCAGGATATTAGCCAAGACTAGCTGAGGTTCCAGCCGCTCCCTGCAAGCAGCTGCAGCTATAAAAATCCAGGTCAAACCCCAAATCCATAAAGCGCCATTATTTATTCAGAAGCACTTTGCTTCTCTCTCCTCCCCAATTCATTTCCATCCCATCTCTCTCTCTGTTTCCTAGTTTGGCCTGTCGGCTGCAAAAAAAACCCCCACCTCAAAGCACCCCCTCCCCAATTCAAGCTGATCAAAAAAAGTGTCCATTATTGGGTGTCCCCCTCCCCACGCCCCGCTTATCTCTTCCTCTCACCCCTTTCCCATTTTTGGGACAGACAAAATACTGTTGTGCGTCTGTTTCTGTGGGGAAGGGGGGGGGATATAGAGGAAAGACCAACCCTGCTTGCACAAAGGTTTAAGGAAGGGCAGGAAACGGGGGAAGGGTCGGTGGGGAACCCACCCCTCAGAGCTGCCATCTCTAAAGCAGCCTTATTCTTATCCTATTAACAATGGGATGCTATTTTTTTTTCTCCCCTAGCATCTCTTCCCTTGCTCTTTGCACCCTCTTCTTTGCACGCGCATCCCCCCCCCATATCCCAGGCTCTCTCGCCCATTTGCACAATCAGCAAGATGCATGACGCGGGGGGGGGGGACTGTCGTGGAGGCAGCCGGGGGACTGCGTCCGTCTGGCGCTGAGCAAGTCACCTTAAATGACCCCCCCCATCCATCTCGGCTCCCAGCCGCAACGCGCAAGCGAGCCCCCCCTTTGCCTCCCTCCTTCCCCCCCCACACCATCCCTGCCCCATCTGCGGTGGGGCAGATACTCCAGCACGCCCGTCCGCCCCCCCCCCACTGCGGTGCTTTTCCTCTCCCCATCCCCCCCCCCTCCCGGTGATGG